AACAAAAAGCTGTGTTTTAAAAAGGACCGACAAGTTGGGGCGCAGTCTACTAAAAACTTCCTGAGAAAGAGTATACAAAAATTCACAGAATACTATTATTGGGCTATCAAATCTAGCCCGCGACCGAAAATAACATTTTTTCTTTTTTCAAGTTAATTATGTTAGCATTGATTTTGTACTGTTTGTCGTCAGCCATGCCATCGCCACGTTTTGTGAAACAATTCAGCGAAAATTACAATTATTATACTTTACCGTGACGTTTGATCTTTCCACTGTCCGTTTACCCGTACAATTGTAAATAGTCACGAGCGGACGACGCCACCTTTAACAATTAGCGATGTAAGACTGATTGTAAGACTGATTTTTTTTTACTATGTTGACTCACACGCACACGCACAATGCGCGCCCATGTATATATAATGCGCGTATATATATATATTATATATATATATATCTGAAAAAAAAAAAACATTTATTTGTGCATATAATATAATATATATATAATATATATTATATATTTACACACTTGCTGCCACGAAATGTATGTTATCAATAATTGTGCAAGTTTGTTACGAAATAAACCATATAATCTTATACCCCGTTGTCGCTTATTAATTAGTGCCGTTAATTAAGTTTACCTTGATTAGAGCGTACATACATGCGTGCGGGTATGTCGAGTTTAGTGATCCGCAGCGTGCCCCGCGATACCGATCGTTTCGTATCACGTATACGTGTATACGTGTGTGTGTATTGCTGTACATGCGAGGATGTGTGTACATCCTCACGTGTGTGTATATGTGCACGCGCGCGCGCAATGGCGGATCGAGGCATTTCGAAGTCCTACGGTCATATATAGCGTAATGCGATAATTCTTCTACAGGGTGTCGCGTAAAACTTCCTTTTTAGTTGTATCCTGCGGCTGACAATGGAGGAAGCGGAACCAGAAAAAAAAGGTAAATTGTTTAATGACGTTGAACTATCTGTGACGTCACTCTTTCTCGCAGATACCTTCGCAAAGCGCAATATATAAGCGTGCACCTACGTATCTACTTTTTTTCAAGCGCTTATATACATTTCTTACGTATTGTCTTTAAAAAGACCGATATAAGAGGAAACTAAAATTCTCAAGTAAATAATAAAAGCCCTATAATGGTAAAATTCGTCAATTCAAGTAGCGAGGGAGAGAAATCAAATAACTGGAAACGAAATCGCGGTGATTAATTTGGAATTAAGTCAGTAAGAGTAAACAAGAACGTACACGAACGATCGGAAAACTAATTTCGCGGAATTAGGAGCGAGGGGGAAACACGGAGAACGGTGCGAAGTGCGAGCTTTAATCGAATCTTCCGAAAAGCATCAGGTGCGTCGAGTAAGCCCTAAACGACTCGCGTGTGGCACTCTCGCGGCACAGTTTTCGGGTTCCCGGCAGGGATTACGCGGGGTTACCCTGGCGCAAGAGGGAATGGGGGAGAGAGAAACGGGGAAGACGGGAGGGAAAAGGATGGATGAGACAGGGAGAAACACAGTTACCTCCCGCTAATAAGCCTCATTCCCTCGATACGCGCGCGGGGAGAATAATTATGGGGCTTGCGCAGTGCGCTCGAGTCTTCGGACGGCGCGGCGGCAGGGAGTTCGGGAAAGCGGGTGGGCAGGACGAGGGGAGCCCCGAGGTTGCCGAGAGGGTGACCGAGGAGAAATAAAGCTCCGAGCCCAGCCGGCGAACGCGGCCGCGCGCGCGGATGCTGAAATCTCGCTCCGCCCGCTCGTCGTCGTCGTCGTCGTCGTCTACGTCCTCGTCATCGCGGTGTGGTGCCGCATCTCGCGCGTCGTGCGGCCGTCGTGGAACGTTTCCGCGTGAGAAAGAGAACGGAGAGGAGGGCAAATCGAACGCGGAGATTCGCGCGCGGGCAGATACGCACGCGTGAGTGCGTGCGTTCGTGCGTGCGTGGGGTGCGTGAGTGCGCGAGAGGGTGCGTGCGTGGGTTCTCGCGGGTGGGCACTCCACGGGGGTGGAAGAGGGAAAAAAAACCCCGGCGGCCGCTGGTGCGTTGTGCGCTACGCGTCGTGCGACACTCTCCGTCGGCGATGGCCTCGTTTCACCCCTAGCCATATATATACCTATATATATATATTATATATCTATATATATATATATATATATACACACACATACACATCTCTCGCCCACATCGCCTCGCGTGACGTTCTTACCCCGGATATGCCGAGGCATGCGCCGTAAAAATCCCGGGATTGATGTATCGCAGGACGCAGGTACGCAGCCCGGCATGCGGCGGCGGTCGCGGTGCATACGCACCGCGCGTCTCATGCGTTTGCATGCGTGCGCGCCGTCCGGTATGCCTCGCGATCGGTTCGCGATCTGACGCTATAGCGTGATACTCGGGTAGATAAATGCAGTTGGGTTGGTGCGAGAGAACACGGTCTCGTCGTATTTTTATTCGGGCTGTGGTGTTGGATCGAAGATTTCGGAAAGCCGGAAGGGGAGATTGAAAAATTTCTCTCTAAATGAAGCGAAGGAATTAATACATCGAAATTTATTGACACAATTTTTTGCTTCAATTTTGCTCCAATTTTCGTTGTACACTTGATAAACACGCACCAACCCAATGACCGACGTGTCACACAATCATAATTAAGTTAACTACGAAAAATATAGCAATTTTTTAATTAACGATTATGATGTCAGTATTTAAAATTTTCTACTCGAAAATAAGTGAATCTTTTTCTTATTTCGTACAAGCTTTTTCCTGTTTTTTTCCCCTCGCTGTTATTATAGTAAAGTCATTTTGCACGTTATCTATCGTTGCAGTTTTGATTTATCCCTTTTGTCTATTCTTGAGATTTTTTCCCTATTTTCTCGGGGAGATGCGTGAATCTATCGGATTTAAAGTTAAGACGGTATACCTGCGATGTGCTCGACATATGAATAGATATACAGGATTCTTCGCGTACTTCATATAACTGTTCAACTTCCCAGATCTGCATTTACTACCTGCTATGCATAGCAGCAGTGGACTTGACGCATACCTCCGACTTGGAGATCACTACGACGAGAAGCCGGGACTGTCCGCCAGAATGCATTTGCCTTTCTCCGAAACAGGTATCTTAATTTCGTAAGAATATACGGTTTTTCTTATTATAACTATCTATAATCGTTTAGGAAAAGAGAGAGGAGGGAAGAAAGTGTAAGCGGCATATTCGTCGTTTCTCGGAAATTCTCGGAAAAGAGGTCGCGGTCTTTAAATTAAACGTTCGAGGTCTCCGAACCCGGAAACGAAATCCCCGCGATAAGCCAAAATGGCACATTTCGTACATTATTAAATATTAAAGAATGAAATTGAAACCAATATCTCTAAATAACATTTTATCTTAATTACCATATGTGTGTCGAAATTTATTATTTTAACACAAAATGGTATTATTTTAATTCATCTAAATTAACGACATACTGAGTAGAAATAGTGGCGACCTATAGGAATAATTAAAAACGACTCAAGCTGAACATAATTTGGCATTAGGAATTTAATAGTGTATACGATTTAAGATTTTATTATACCTAACTTTTATCGCAAATGTCAGAATGGACAGTAATTAAACGATTTCCATGTCCGGTTATCGTCTTTGTGCGCTCTCTCTGAGAAATAAAACGTTCCGTTACAGGTACTCTGCAATACAGGCGGCCTCGAGGACATCCCGACGCAGCACCTGCCGGAGACCGTGGAGGAGCTGTCGCTGACGAAGAACAACTTCCCGGTGATAAAGGGCGACGCGTTCGCCGGTCTCCGGGTCCTACGTAAGCTCACCCTCGACGGCAACAACATCTCCTCCATCCGGCCGTTCGCGTTTCGCGGCCTGAACCGACTCCGCGAGCTCTCGATCCAGCACACCCCGCTGCCGTGCATCGAGAAGTTCTCGTTCGCCGCGCTGCAGAACGTCTCGGTGCTGCTGCTGGCGAACAACAAGATCCGCTACGTCGAGGGTTACTCGTTCGCCGGCACGTCGAACGTGAACGTGATCCTGCTGAGCAACAATCCGCTGCTGACGATCCGCAGCCACGCGTTCGCCGGCCTCACCAACGTCAACAATCTCATCTTCCCGTCCGGCATCCGCACGATCGAGCAGGACGCCTTCGACGGTCTCCAGCACGTCGGCCAGCTCAAGCTCAGCTACATGGACCTGTCCGGGCTGCAGGCCTACACCTTCCGCGGCCTCTCGCACGTGCACTCGATCTACATCCAGGAGAGCGACCTCGGCGTGGTGCAGAGGAACGCGTTCGCCGGCCTCGCGCACGTCGGCCGCCTCAACGTGCTCAACAACAAGGTCGATCTGATCGAGCGTCTCCACCTGCGCCACGAGAACTACATCGAGGTCCTGCGCTTTCACGGCAATCACGTGCTGGAGGCGCCGCGTCACGCCAGGGACGTCGTCCTCGAGGTGGCCACGGTCAGCGCGATCGATAATCACTTCCCATGCGACTGCCAGGCGCACAACGTCCTCGAGAGCGACTTCACCCGCGGCGACAGCGTCGAGTTCCAGCGCCGTAACTACTGCATCTCGCCGTTCGAGTACAACGGCAAGCCCATGAACGTCGTCGACTTCGACCTGGTCGCGCGATGCCACGACAACGTGATCCAGGACAACCTGGGCTCGGGCGTCGTCGGGGTGTCCCGGCTCTCGGCGCTGCTGCTGTTCGTCTTCCTGTTCTCGACAAACCTGTTCCGATGAGCCTATATATATACTTCCAGCCCCTTCCGATTCTTCGACGATCGTTTCCGCGCTTCTGCTCCTATAGATTCTCCGAGGCGACGCAACGGCGAGAAAACGACCGTATGTTCACGTGCGAGCTTACCGCTGTATACGGCTTTCTATCGAGAGGTCTTTCTTCTTCGCCATCTTTCCCCCCGCCTGCAGCGGAGTCTACGTAGTTCTCGGTAAAGTTGACGAAGCGAGAAGACGTCGCGTACGAATAACACATTATCACCGTAGAGTATCGTATCGATCTTCTATATGACTTGGCACGAAAGGAATTCGTATTAGAAAGAAAGAAGAATAATCTCTCGCGATTCCGGAGTAGTGGTCGATGAAAAGGCAAGCCGCAAACTTTAACTAGGTCCACGAAGTTATAATCAGCAGACGGATTTCGCGATTCGCGATACGCAAGGCGTAAATTTACTCATCAAAACAGTAGAAATCTAATTTTGGATTTCCGGCTTATTATATTCTTTGGAACTTTAAAAGAACTTCTTCCTCTATTTTTTCCAGCTTAACCGTTATTCTAAGTCTCGAAAATGTTAAGGATAAAATAATGCATGAGCTATAATTCAGTTTCGATAAATGGTATCAATTAATATTCCATCGCGAAAAAATCCCATCCAGAGCTAGAGGATTAATTAGAGGAGCTTTTTACAGATTGTTGCATGATGTAATTTCCCGTCGTTAATCAAGAAGAATATCACCACCGAAGGGACATATAAAAAAGATAGCAATAAAAGAGCTCCTGTCCCCCGTAACATTTGTATGCAATGTTATTCTTGATAATTATCGGAGACCGAGATGCATGGACGTAACGAGAGATTTATTCACGCGAGACACCATTGTTACGGTTGTACGAGTGGAAAAAGGACGTGGCTGTAGTCATTAATGCCAAATGGATACATATCCTCACGGACATATGAAAGTGAACGAACGTGATCTCACATATCGAGAACATCGTTTATCTAACGTCGGAAATATAATTTCTTTATTCTTTATTCTTGGTAGAATGTTTAAGACGCGATCGAGATTTAATTCAATAGAATATTCATCTGTCGTATCTGAAACGCTGATATGTGAGTTCCTATTATTTATGACATAAGAAAATTTTGTACTGCGTTTACACAATTTTGTACCGTTTGTACTGTCGCATACGTTTAATTAATGCGATAAGTTTTATATATTTTCTTTTTAATTATCCTCCGTTCTGTGCCGATACGCGTTTGACGTTAAATGTGGTCTCATCTTACGGCGGCGAACACGTGATCTCTTCATCAAAGCTCAGAAATGCGCATTCAGCGCTCATACATGTAACAATAACGCGGGCCTATGTGCATTCCTCTCGCATTCTTTTCGCAATCAATCGAGCCGAGCGAATTCCGCGAATTCGCGATCGTCGATCGCGGAATGATATGGCGTCATGAGAGACAGAACGTTATACGAGCTTTAACTGGCCGGCATACTGGACCAGCATTGTCGTATTTACTTGAGGCTTCAAATTTTGCGTGGCTGCGTAAAATATACGTTTTTAGGAACATTGAAACAAAATAAGATAAGCGAAAGTATACTTAATGGAATTTTGTTCGCTGAGCGAAGGATCTCATCTAAATTGATTTTTTTTGTTACACACTCGCACATACATGATTATCGCAATTTAAATATTAGTTACTAACAAAATTTCGCATTATGACATATCTTGACATAAAGATATAATATTAAAAAGCTAGATATATATATACATATATATATATAATTTTGGAGAAGCTTATCTCTAAATAGGTCCACCACAAATCTTACTTCCGGGTCCAGGAATCCAAGCTATGCGCCTGTACGTTCACATCTGCTTTACGATCCCATTAGTATAGGCCGAGGGATCATTTAAATAATTCGGAAATGATGAAAGTATCTAGCGATTAAGTACACACGTTTAATTGCATTTTGATGCGCAAGATCATCGGAGAGGGGTCGGAATTCCTGCACGGAATCACGCGGTTTAAAAGAGATCAGGCGAAGATCCATCGTGGGAAATCAATTTTTTATCTTTTATCGGGAGATCGGATATCAATTATAAAATAACTTCAAAGTTAATCCGCTTGTAGGCTTCAAGAAAATAAAATAATATCCAATTTCGAATAACAAAAGGAGGAGGGGGGAGGGGAGATTATTTACTAAATAAATTAGTTTTGAAATTTTTCGATTGTTTCGATTTTGTTTTGACGCGTACTTTCGTCAGGACCTCTTAATCCGTGTATCTTTAGGAATGCAACGTATTTCGAGACGGAAGTGGATAACAGTGTATTACACATGCTCAACACTTTAGACGAATAATTATAATTACAAATCTTTTTTTTTTTTCATACACCTGTGTATGCGTATAAAAGTCAATAGCAATGTCAGCGAAGCGAGGATTTCCATTAATTTGGAATTCTTTTTCCGTAACATCTCGTCAGCGTTATCTTAGAAAATCGCTTATCGTTCCACACATTAGAAACCGCATGCGAAAATTTGCTTTCATCGAAGCCGGCAAAACTGATGCATCATTAATTAGACGAGGCGTTGACTCCCTAAAAAGTCACGATATACTTAAATGCTTTCGAGTTACATTTGATACCGCGAAACAGTCGTATACACAGTTTGTATAAAAATGTTTACTGTGCCAACGTTTTGCATTTACTTGATATTATAAGTCAGGTAAATAATTAAGAGTACGAAGGAAAAAGAAAGAAAGTATCGAGTAGGAAATTTTAAACGATATATATACCACAGAACATTTTGTTCTTCACATAATAGAGTTCGTGAAAAAAGAAAATACTGCTTCATAGATAAAAGTACATTGGCGTCCAAAGGCTATATATGAAATGAATCAGAGTTATGAGATAATGCTATATTATGCTTACAATTTAAAAAAAAAAATAAAAAAACACTATATAAAGCGTGTTTCGCTGCCATTCGTAATGGAAGATTTGCTTGGCCTTCGGTCAGCATAATAACCGAGGACCAACCTAGCTTATATTTTTTACCAATGTTTGAAATAGCGTTTAATAGACACGATTGAAATCTGTAATCTTTCATTGTAGTTAGAATGTCCCGTCATATAATAAATGGAATAAAACAATATACAGACTCATATGACCTCTACAAATATTACATAATTTTGAACACTGAAGATTCCATGGAAAACTTTCGAAATAAAAGTTCTTTCATTCTTCTTTTACTTGATTTTTACCGTTATTGTTGTGAAAATATGACAGAAATATGACAGATTCGACAAAGTGACCCGATATTATTCATTTAAAATTGATAGAACTCGTGAAACGTAAATGTTTAAATAATTTAATGTATATTTAAGACCGCGATATTTAATTAACAACATACTCTTTACAGCAAGTATCACTTTAACAGTAAGAGTACATATTTCATTCTATACTTATATTAATCTAACACATTGTTAGAAATTTAATGAATTGGAACAGTTGGTGGATCCGGAATAGGGTCGAACTCGCCAACACTCTCCATATATTGAACGTCTTTACGGTATGGTTTCAACTCCCAGTGCATTCGTGATTCCATTGTTGTTAATTCGATGCCAAGATCTTCTAGAGTTGGCAATTCGTTGAATATCTTATCAGATATAGTTTCCTGCAAAACGCAATGTCAAGTTTAATAATACTATTTAATTTATTATCTACATTATGTTTTATTTGAGTTTGCGTTTCTCTTATAATAAAATTAAAACGTACTCTTTCCAAACTTTCCCAATGTACAGCTTGTAATGGATATGCGGGAGTTAGAAGTTCGTTCAAAGTGACTTTAATTTTGAAAAGTGGGGCGTATTTCAAGTCCATTCTCTTGTAGCCGTACTCGACTGGGTCGCGTATCCTTATGCGATGGAACCAGTCGAGTAATTCAGACAGTTTGTAACGCTTCGGCCTGCGCAAATAAAATATTCACATTTTGCGAAAATAATTAGGATAATGTTACAATTGCACGGATGTACCGTACCCGACAAACTGGTAAGTCTTGCCAGCCGTGTTTACAGGATCTTTCGCAATAGCTGTAATACCTCCGGCGACATCGTATACAGCCACTGGTTGTTTTTCCGTTTTTTCACCCTTTTCCCACAACGGTACGGTCCTGTGATTGAATGTATCGTATCGTCAGAGATCGTAAAGTTTTTTATATGTTTAATATGTTTTTAATAAAATTTATTTCTTCCTGCAAAATATTACCTGAAATGATGTCTCAGTATGGAAGAGTATACACGTGTGAATCGGTCCTCTTGACCCCATATATCCGCCGGCCGGATAATTGTAGCCTCGGGAAATTCTTCTAGCACCGCATGCTCGCCTTCCAATTTTGTACGAAGGATTTGAGAACCATCTTTCAATATGTGTGCCTTAACGCAGGAGTATTATTAAAGTCAAGAAAATTAAAAATCATCATAATTTGATATAAACGTTCAATTTACCACTGACTCTTCGCCTACGTTTAAGGCAGATACATGGATGAAGTGCTCAACATTAGCCTCCTTGCACAGCCTGGCAAGTCTTCTAGCTCCCTCAACGTGTACTTCGTGAAAAGTAAAGTTTCTCGTTTCCCAATCTCGCCCAATTAGATTGATAACAACGTTGGAGTACTTGATACACTTTCTTATCGACTCGTCGTCACGCAGATGAAACGGATGAAACAAAACTTGTCCCAAATCTCCACAGAGCTTCAGGCGCATGCAATCGTACATATCACCTCTGTACGGTATTACTAACTGCAAATTGAGCAGGGCAATCAATCAAAGCTGATTATATTTCAATCATATCTACGTATCGCAGTAGAAATTATCGCTGTAGAAGCTGATGCCGTCAATTTCCTTCATTTCAATGCGTCATATGTACCTGAGTACCAATCTTGCCAAGGCGATTGCACACATAGCGGCCCACGAATCCAGTTGCGCCGAACAGGGTGCATACCATCCCGTTGAAGGAGCTACGTCCACCTGTGCCTCTCTTCAAAGAAGCGGTAGTGGGATCTTTGATGACTCGCGGCTGCGACGAATAATGATTCGTCTGCAGCGTCTGCACCGCAACGGCCCCGATGCATGTTGTCTGTCTTCCTAATGTACACAAATATACACAAATGTAAATTGTTGGTTACATAATTCCGAAACGATATCTGTCACACGGTGCGTGCGTAAAAAAGATTGTAAATATAGTTTTACGTGTAACACATTTATGTAATTCAATTTTTTGAAGCAAAAAATTAAATTTACAAAGGATGCGAGTAATGTGACAAGCTTACTTGCTGCTTGTAGAGTATACCTCGGTATCAAGGCGGCCATCTTTCTCGGCCATCCATATGTACTGTGCGGAATTCTTTCTTTGACGCGCAGTCAACATTTTCGATAACGATACAGATATTTTCACGTTTCTTTGGATGAAATGAATCAAGAAGAAATGTAGATCTGTTCAATCGGAAAAATTATGTGTTATAAAGATTTGCAGTAGTCTTTTAATAAATATCATTTCTTCTAAAATCCATATTATCCTTCTTTTTTACGCCAGCTGTTTTCTTTTTAAAGCGAGGATATAATATAATGTATACTTTAAAACTCATATTTATCAGTTATCAGAAAAATCGTAGGAGATTAGAGATATTGGGAGATTATATTTGTGCGAGAGCCAAAAATCAGATACAAATTTTCAAATTTTCAAATTTTCAATTTTTTTTTTAATAATATTATACATTATTAGTATATATATATATATAATACATAGATCTTTTATTTATTAACAATAATTATACAAAATTTTCGACAAATAAAAATTAAATTGTTACAATTGTCAAATTATGTTTCTCAAATTACTACTACATATATCCGATAGATGTCGCTGTACATCAATTAAATGATCCGCGTTCCAAAAGTCATCACAATAAAATTGTGCAGATTTTTACCATTTTTTACCGCCTTGCGTTCCCAAGCTAATCAAAAAGTGTTTTTTAAATATTTATCTCAATTGTTGCGTTGAAACGCGCGACATTTGAATCGGATTTAATTTTCACAAAAAATATATTCTGATAATTTCGGAAATTTTCGAGGTTATTTCTTACCTTATTTCGTTCTCTTGATACCTTTGGACAGAATATTCTGTGTGATATAGAGGTAGACTACCATCAATATTTTTGGAGTAAGTGGAGAAACTATGTACTTCGCGAATATTCTGCCAGTAGACATCAGACGGATTCTGCTGTTCGCATTGTTTGTTTTGCTTGACATCGTTTGCAAAGTGGTGGACAAATAGAGTGATACCAGCCAAATTAGCAAACGAAATTGTAGTAATTTTTCGTTTTTGCTAAAGGATCTTCGCATATGTATCTTCGTATATGTATTTCTCGTGCCAGTTCGTAGATATAGTGCTTATGATCTGCGTATGTACGATTAAAATGTAAGTATGTATTTTTCAAATGTATGTATTGAATCATTCTATTTGTAATTTTCATTTAGCATGCAGTCTGTGGCAATTAAACGCTTGCAAAATATCACTGTGTTAGCCTCTAAATAAATATCTTAATTAGCTGTGTTACTATGCAAACTATATATATTTCAATTGTTACGTTGCAGTTAATTGAAGAGGCATAACAATGACTACGGCAGCTGTGTATAATTACATGAAAACGCAAAACAGACCCTACAGTGTGAATGACGTAGTCACGAATTTGCACAACGAATACAACAAAAATGCGGTTCAAAAGGCTATGGATCAATTGGTGTCGGATGGGAAGCTGTTCGAAAAAGTAAAGGCCAACATTTACAGCTATCGTAAGAATTAGAATATTTAAAATACACGACTATTTTCATTTTGTCTTTAGGTTTATGGCAAACAGAAGATATATTGCGCTGTCCAAGATTCAACGCAGGACACTGATGAACTTATGAGGATCGACAAGGAACTGCAAACTCATGCCGGTGAGGTCGAGAACAAATATCAGGAAGTCATGAGAGAAATGAAAGAACAGGAGACACTTTTAGCCTCTCTGAAGTCGAGTCTGACGTTGGAAGATGCACAAAAGGAAAAGATCGTTCTGCAAAAAAATGTAAAAGAATTAACGCTTAAATTGGACAAGTTGATGGAATCAAGCGTTTCTGAAGATTTGCAAGAGTCTAAACGTAAGGCACAGGAGAATCTGGACGAATACTCACGCGAATATTTAAAAAGAAAGAAGATTTGCGTCGAAATAATAGACTGCATTTTAGAGGGTTATCCTGGCAACAGAGATGAACTGTATGAGGAGGTAGGCATAGATTCAACGACTGTATAATAATCAGTGATAAAGAGTTCTCTCTTGGTTTCCCAAGTTCAAATTATTGTATTATTTCTATTTTTTGTCTAATTTTCTTATATGTAAAATCATATTTATATTTAACGAATCAAGTGATGTGTTTTGTGTTGAAATGATTAATATATTTAAATTTATGTATTAAATGTCATTTACATACATATAAAAAGTTATGTAAATCTCACTACTGCAAAAATTGCATATAAAAATACTCGTGCTTAAATTAAATAGAATTACATTAAGTTCCTAAGGCTGGATTCGGGGAGCGCGCTATTAGCGCTATTTGCTTATTCTCTCCTTGTTTTACACCTGATGAGCGATAAAGATAGAACGATGCAATATAGCGTTAATAGCGCACTCCCCGAACGCAGCCTAAGTAGCACACACGCCACGGTATTATTTATGAATTTTTAATTATAGCAGACAAATCAACATTTACTTTGTGCGTTTATATTTTTTTGTACAGTGTGTTGCGTTATACAGGGCATTCCAAAACTATCATATTTTCTTTAATTATGAATACTAATGTCCTAGGCATCAATACACATTAATACAATTAGTTAATAGCGAAAGTTACATCAAAATTCACATTTTAAGTTACAGAAAAATGAAAGTATCAAAATTTTAATTTGTAATTGAGAAATTAATGTGGAAAATCTGTACCGAAAAGATAAATTTTTGCTTATACAATGTATGATCAACAGAGAATATGATAGTTTTTGGATTTATTATATTCTGATACATATACAATATTCTGATATCATTGCGCGAATTATGCGTGCATACGTGACTTTCTCTGTATTTACATACGTCAACTTTTATGTACAAAGGATTGAAAAATTTCAATCGGGATATAATTTAGTCTTAAAGGAACATAAAATATATCCCTGACATAATACATGATGTATATCCTTTTACTTTGTTCTTATATGGTACCCCATTAAAGCAGCAGCAACGTAGAGTGCGGTTATAGATATATCGGCGTGTATGGTGTCCTGTAACACAAATTGAAATATTTATTTTAGTAGTAGAAGTAATTGTGTGTGTGTGTGCGTCTACACATCAAGAATTGACTGATATAAACGCAATATAAAATATTAAAAGAAGATCGAACATTTGCTTCGTTTCGTTAATAACATAATTTAAATAAATTTCACAGTATTTGCATTTTTTAAAATATATAATTTTAGCAAATCGAATTTACCTCAATAACATTGATATTTATCTTCACGTGAAAAGTTTTATCTTTTCCTTGATTGTCTCCTTGATTCTGTCCTTCAGTTTTTGCAGTAATTGCAGCCACGGAATCTGTCTGATTTTTTGAAGGGTGAATTTCGGTAGGAACTTCTCGAGTAACTTCTTCTTTTCTTTGTCCTCAGTTATCACTCCTTCAAGCACGCATTTGCCATTTAAACAGATCTAAAAAGAGTACCAGATAATAAATATTTACTATCGTTAACGTATATTGTAATTGTTTAATAACAATAATTTCTGCAATTACATTTCTACGATAAATATTTCTTATAATCCATACGATATTAACGATAATAGTTATTTCTCAAGAATTTCAATATTTAAAATAAAAAAAATAGCAGAACTCTTACCAAACCGTCCCCGCAAGGAGAACCTTCCGCTGCTGACGCGAATGCTCTGCAGTAGCCCTCGATTCCAGGATATTCGCACTCCAAGCGAATGCATACCGTAGCGTCTTTCTGTAAAGCAAACCTATACGTTGTAAATTTTTTCAAAATTTTTCCGAGGCAAAGCTGATTTTGCATATGAGAGTACATCGAGATTACAGCTTGAATAACTTACGTTACACGCCGGCGTACCGAAGACCTTCATGCACTGATCGTCCAAAGACATCAAAGTCCCGGGCAATACAAGCGCCACCGGTGGACCCGTTACGGGCTCGTTGTAAAGACACTTTGCCCTGTCCTCGCTGAAATAATTCTTAAATTAATGCCATTTATAAAAAAAAAAATTAATATGTAAAATGTACGCGCGTGTTATACGTACGTGATGAAATTGTAGAAGGCGTTTATGCTGCACGAAGACCATTCGAAGCCGTTCTCGTGCAACATCAGTCCGCTGGTCATGATGAAGCCTTCTTGAGCCGGACAATCTCCGGCGCCTTTCGGATTGCCGTCGTGCCGCGCTCCTATTCTGCAACGCGAAAGGATCATTTTTTATCGTCAAACATTTTTTAATTAATAATTGAGCAATTATTACGGTGAAATATGTATCTTTTCCTTCTTTATGTATGTATATAATTATCTATAACGTCGCAGAAGCGATATAATTCACGCGTTTCTTTCTCGCACGGATCTCGGAATTGAATTCGATTGTTGGCACGATTAAATTTCTTGCCTGAGAAATTCTCGTGAATAAAATTCCTTACAAGTTTTTCTTCTGCAAGAAAAAAAAGACAATGCAAAAGCATGCAAACACTGACTTACAGATGGCCGAGTTCGTGAGCCGTAGGGATGATACCGGAAAATCCACCGTTGTCCTCGACAATTCCTACGGCCTCGGATGATTGCTTCGTTGCATTTCTGTCGCATGCACCGGCTACGTACGCATATCCTACGGTCGCAAATTTACCATTATTTCATATTTCCTTTTCCTCCCCCTGTGGAGGATCGTAATTAACGACAAACACGGAGCCGCAGTTTTCGTATACAATTATTATATACATATAATCTTTTCTAAAAAAAGGTGTTATATATATTTCAGCTTTTCAGCAGACTTACCCAAAGTCGAGGTGTCGCAAAAATCATCGGTGAGCATGTTGCACATATCCAGACTGAAATCACATCGGATCGTATTATTTTATCGTCGTCTATTACAGTCTACACCGTTATATATTCTTATAATTCTAGAAATTAAGGAAAGAGAACGTACAGGAAACCACCGGATACTTACTGTGTCATAGCAATCGCCATGTCGTAAAAATCTGTCGGGAATCTACTCTCGCGATAAAAGTAATCAGCCATGCCGCGTAGAGCACGATCCGCGTCTACCGATGAAACCTCGATACGACTATCTTCCAAATACGGAATCGCATTGTTGTCCTGAAACACAAAGAGGTGTTACGTTAAAAATAATCCTATAAGAAATATATATTAAACACATATTAAATACGTAATATTTAAAACTCGGAAATTGTTATATTCTTTTTTTATTTTTGACGCAATAACTGAAAAAGATACGTGTATTTGAGCGTGATGAAGAATATTGGGCTAAAATTTACCGTGCTTATGATTATTCCTGCAATGTTAAGTCGAATTTTGGGCGTGGTCAGCAAGCGATACCTCAAATCGACTCCGTTCCAAAACGAGACGAGGTATTTTATGGCCTGCTCGATATTTTCGCCGAGTAATCTGCGATAAACAGAAAAATTAATAAAAGAATAATATATTGATTTTTGTTATAGAAATTACAAAATTGTTTGCAATTTATGACTGGCGTTACATATCATTTTACTTTTACCTGTACATAGTGTAGTCGGCTACTATTATGATTTGCGGATAAATGATGTCTGGGGCATCGCGTTTCACCGTCTGGTCCTCAGGATCTGTAATCTCTGGAAGAACGTACCATATTAATAAGAGACTTGAAATTCCAGAAGGGAATATAATTGTCAGGTAGATATACAAATGGCTTACTCAGATCTTTGTACTGGTCCAACGAAGGTATCTTATACACCACGTGATGATGCGTGTAGTCGAATTCATCGTCTTCCGTCACGTTCTTCGTATGAAGCGGTTCGTAGAGATTGTGCCCTCCGTAAAGAACGTGCTTCAGAATTCGTCGTGGCAAGGATTTGATGACGTATGTGTTATTAAGCACTCCGTCCTGCAAAAAAAACGAAGTGTCGTCCGTTTATATTTATGTACATTTAAGAGGGAAAAAGGAAAGAGATATCTGCTCCTCGATAAAAATTTTGAGATACTTGAAAATCGAGGGGATCCATACAATTGGGATCCAACGAAGATCCAAATCTTACCAAGTGTACTTGGCCGTCAGGAGTGGGAGTTAGTAAAACCGCACTCGAAGAGTGTACGTCTTGAAGCGTGACTCCCAGATAATCCATAGCCTGCGGCACAAGAAGGCTAATTAATCAGTAAAAATTGTTTGCACACTTATTTCGCGTACAGTATTTTTTACTATAGTATTATAAACATTTGGAGACATGAGGTTTAATTGTACTACATGGCACTTGTTTCCAATACGATCGCGAATCAAACTTACCTTGGGCACTTGCTTGTATTGCAATCCTTCTGGTGCTTCCGAATCGGAAGAAACGGTCCACACGGGGGTGTTCTCACTGGCGAGGATACCTTCCGTGGGATTCAAGTACAATTTGACGTCGTCGTTGAAGACTTTCAGCTTCAGCTCGTTCGTAGCTTCTTTGACATCGTCATTCTTCACCAGGCGATGCGATACGGGCACCACTTCGTACTTGGGTACTGACAGTTAATATAAATTAAGATTATAAAAGCTGTATAATGCAAATAAGATATACTATCGCGATTATGTTATTAATGCTTCTTGATCTAGAAAAAATTTGAATAATTAAAAGAAAAAGGAAAAGTTTAATGTTAAAAAAGCGCTATGAGAGTAAAGAATATTTTTCTAAAGGGGTGGCTTATTCACTCACCTTGATGATGCGGCGCGTGAAAAATGGACATCACTTCGTTCGGCGTCATGTACTCGTGAAGCTGAAAACACATCCTTTGATTTCTAACATTCTGGCCTCGCACTTCTCACTTTTACGCGGACGAAACAATAATCAGGTTTTACATTTCTATACCTTAGACTTAGAGGTAAAGTATCGTATCTCTATTATTATAAATTTAAGGAAAAGAGTTTAAAGTTTTAAATAGTTTAATGAGTTTTTAATAAAGTAATTAAACTGACTTGTTTATACTACAACTGCCAATAAGACTGTACTTGACCTAAAAAAACTAGAAATAACAAGGTACAGATTTATAATTCCATATTACCTTCTTGCATCGTGAAAACGGTATCCCGGTCAGGCATAATAGAAATATCACGCGGAACATTTTCTACAGATGCCTCCGCGAAAGGCGGTCTTTGAATTTCTTCGTAATTTCGCCCGAATTGTTTATTGTCAAAGATCAAATAATATGGATTGCGATCTCTCTCGCGTATCCTGATATTCGCGAATATATCTCGCGATCATTCGGCGAAAGAGCCCGTAGTCCGAATACGAGGGAGGATCATTTCGCGCCCTATATAAATTAGCTGGCCGATGTTTGATCTGTGCTCGTGATTACCACGAGCGAAACACTTGTACATATAACATATATGATTTGCGCGCGAGCACAGCAGTAATGAAGAAAGAATTATACAAATTCATAATTCTTGTGTGACAGACAACATGCGTAAAGATCCGATCGATGAATTAAACGTCCTGTCAAGGATCAAATTGTTGGCTGCATTTTTGATCGCTCGAGCTGTCCTTGTATAATAAAAATACTGTGAGTTACTTTATCCTGGCAAAAATTTATAAAAGAGGATGATAAAAAGAAGAGAAGCAGGAGAGAAATAAAGAAGGATTAATAAGTAGAACCATTAGTTATTTATTAACAATCGATGTGCAATTCGCATAACTCTGTCGAGGAAAAGAGAGAAGAAAAGGAGAGGATATACGTACTAATTTGCCAAAACACCGTGATGTCGAAACGTTGATCCACGTCTGATTGATGGTATGTGTGCTTTTCCGATACGTAAATTCTTACACAAATAATTATTATTTTTTCACGAAAGACGTTTTCCCGAATTCCTCCGATTTCGATCCCCGATGACGTTTTGAGCGATATTTTTACATCTGCTCGCTGCCAAACAAATCGTTTATCACGCATCTACTCCGATATGCAATGTGCGCCAGTGGGGTACATTCCCGTATTTCGTTTATGTATAATTGCAGATCCACGTCGATTGCACATGCGACAGTTGATAATACGCCGAATAAGAAATATATTAAGTATATGTGTTGTACACGTTACATCACAAGACGCCGCGGCGTTTGCTCTTGTTAGCATAATCAATCATCGATTGTCCGTGGCTACCGTCGTCAGATCTTAATGATGGCAGATTTCGCCATTGAGATTCCTCAAAGACTACAATATGCGATTTTCACGTGAATTATTTGTGTGTTGGCTTTTCCCAGAATTTTATTTATCGCTGCTTCTCTAGCCTTTAATCCACTTGATAAAGTTTTAATAAAGAGTAAAATTATGTAGATTCTTTTCATGCATCTATTATTAATTGTACATCTGAAAAGAAACTAGAAATCTCAAATTCAAATTGTATTCTTTTACATCTATTTTTGAGACGTAATTTTTATCATAAGTACTGTATTAACTTTGTCAATCAAATAAATAAATACTTTTAATCCGCAAACTAGGAAGTTACACAGTGAAGTATAATTGCAAGATATTTTTCCTGTTTCATATTTTCATTCAAATTTATTGATTTCTTTTTCTTTCAGATCAGAATGTAAAAATATATAAAATAATGTAAAACGCTCCTGGGTTTCAGATATTTTATATTTCTCTAGGTGGTTACATAATTTATATATAATTATATCAATATATAAATTACAGATATAGGGCTAGGAGAGGAAGACGAAAGATGTTTTAATTATTCCCATTTATTGTCTTGCGTTATACAATTTCTGTAATTTCCAAATGGCTTTATCCGCGCGCACTCGCGCGCGTTTTTATGTTCGCGAGAGATATACGCACGACGCACCTGTGCCTGTGTAACGAGTCTTTCGCGAGATCGCTCCTTATTGAATAAATATGAACGCAGACGAAATCTCTATCGTACCGATTGACAGTCTGCTTCTTTTTAGAGATTCACTACATCGTTCAGTACCTCGGTGAAGATTTCCACGGGTACCGTATCGCAAGAATTGGAACATCTGGAGGTATGTGAGACACACATTTGCTGAGTCGAGCTACATTTAAGAGGCGAATGTGATCGTCGCGATCAAAGAACCGCACGAGGACCCGACGGAGATTTTCTCGTCTACCCGCAAAAAAAGGAAAGATACAGAGAAAGAGAGACGAAACGAGAGTGAAAGATCTTTCCCCAACTTCTGTCATTCCGACGCGGCGCTTTTCCGGATGCTGCGAGTTACGACGGCGAGAAGCGACAGGGCGCCCGATAAAATCCTCATCCGTGGCGGGTGTCTCTAAGCGCGACGTCTTCGAGTAAATTATTAAATCGATTTTTCTTGTTCTTTATTTCTTTTTTCTTGTCCTTAATATCATTATTTAGTCAGCACAGATCGTCTTCAGGGACGCGCAGCAGCGACTCTTCACAGATTGTAAATGGCACAGCCATGTTCTTAGCCTGTCAATCAGCTCCGCGCAATCTGACCCCACGTCCGTGCATTCACCGGCCTCTGTTCCTGGAAGCAGACGGACAAATTAAAATTTCGATTTCAATTACGTGCATTCGATTAGAATAGTCTATAGAATGCCTGGAATAGAATTGAAAGTGATGCAACAACATAGAATTATTAGTAATCCCATCCGTGGAAATCACAATATATCTTATCGCCTCCACAGATATTACATAAAAGTATCATACATATATTCACGTTATTATACACATATCACTGTCCTACTAGTACGTTTGTTGAAGAGAGATATAAAGAGCGAAATATATCCACATTTGCGATGCTTATGTGCATCTTTGTCGAAGAAACACAAATGAGATGTGTACAACCGCTTCATTTCTATCGAATCAATATTAGAATCTTCATTCGCAGTTTATCTAAAGATTGATTCGATAGAAGAAAGAGATATTTACAAAAAAAATATATACAAAATATATATACAAGAGAGATAAACTGTTAAAACTCCGAGTTAATTTAATCAATATTATATCGATGAAATTCAGAACCAGGGTTAACGAGAAAGAATTAACGATAATCAGTATGAAGGACCTTTATCGGCTCATGAGATCGGTCTTATGAGATAGTAACTCAGTTTACAATACTCCTGATATTCCATTAGTGACAGAAAAAACATAGAGAAGTAGAGATATTATACAAAATGATGAAACAGTTTCCAAGTATCGGCAAGTATTATCGGAGAAACCGACAGAACCGATAGAACGACAATGAACAGTGTCGGAACCAATGTCTCTCGAAAGGTTCCTCGCCGGCAGGACTCGCCACTGAAGAAGTGGACAGAAACAGAAAAGACACGGAGAGAAGACCGTCGGATACCGAGAATCCGTCGCGTTAACGGCAAGAGACAAAAGTCATGCAAAATTAAAGACTCGTCTTGAGAGTCGGAGGAGAGAATAGAGAGAAGAAAAAAAAAAGGTACGGCGATGGTGCACAGGATTCTCTTACCGCGGCCGTCATTTCGAAGGCCGTTCTGATCTCCTTTGGTCGTCGTGGAAAGCTCCACGCTGATCGTGTTCTTATACTTGAACGGACTAAGTTTCGGATCGTAAGTGACCTTCGGAGTGGTACTGACGGTGTAATACGAGTTGAAGAAATTGTTGGTTCTCCTGGTGGTGCTGACGCCGCCACCAGTGTCGCTATTACTATCATAAATGCTATTATTACTGTATCTAGTCTTGTATCGATCGGTGTACAAGTTATTGATAATTGTCCGCGTGTATTTTGACACCGTGGTTGCGAACGGGTTTGTGACGCGTTTGTAAGGATTAGTTGTCCACGATATCGTCGTCGTCGTCGTTGTCGTCGGTGTCGACGTGGACACGCTTGATAATGGTATGCTTTGTGTTGATTCCCAACCTGGGTACCTGTGTGGCATATTATCATGGTGTTACTACACATTGTGCTGCATTCTCATATCAGCGCACTGTATACTGCTAAATGAAAGCGGCAAACCAGTTTTTCATCGTAAATATGTTGTTCATCCTTATATTGAAGCTACAATATGCTAAAATGCAACAGTGGGTCACCTAGAAATACACCTGTCGATACGGTTCGATAAATATCGCTGACGTAACTTCAACCCTCAATTTTTTTTTAAATTTTACAATATATTCGTGACAATAGATTCGAAAACATTTATTTATATCTTCAAAAATTATTATATAGAAATTTCATTTTTTCGATCATAACACGAAAGAAAAAAAACAAGTTCTTTTTTCTCGTTTGCACACACGTGGCATTCAAAGATTAGTGAAATCTGGCTACGTGTCGTATCTAGCTATATGCCACTTCTGTGTTGCTCGCGTTAGAAAACAAAATAAATCACTCGAGTTCTCTGATCATTACCTGTAGTCTGTGTTGTTGTAATGAGCGAATATCGGCCGAGTATGTAAGGCGGAATTGAATATGCTGTCTCGGCGTACGTACGTCGGAATGTTCTGCGTATAATCCGGTATTATGTTCTCGTGCTCCGCCACGCACTTCCCGTTCAGGCAGTACTGGAAATCAACGTCAACGATCAAGCGATTAAACAACTGTGTAAAGACATCTTGAGAAGATATATGCCGAATATTGTTATCTCAACGCTGTTATGTAAAATTACACGATATCAACACATCGCGTATAACGTCGGCGTCGCCAAGATTTATGAGATTCATTTCTGACGTAATTGCGCGTTACAATTGCGACGCACGCGTCACGGAAGCTATACCGTAAGCGTCATGCAAGCTGCATTATGTATATTATGTATATTAGTAGAAATGTCATGTGCCGAGAGGGACATTTCTTTTTACAGACGGAAGCAAGACGTTGTTGCAAAACTCTCTCTCGCTTTACCTGACCGTCTCCGCACGGCGAACCTTCCGCTGCTGGGCGATACGCGACGCAGTATCCGGATCCGGCGTCGAAGCAGAACAGCTGAGCGCAAACTCGATCGTCTTTCTGAAATACAGAATGCAAAAATATAAAAATAGATAAATAAAATAAGTAGATGTTGTGACAATAATAATAGATACAACTTTATCATAGTTTAATGTCTTATATAGAGCTGCATTCTTTAAATCAAAGCAGATGGGATTAGCTTAGAAATTATCGGAATTAACTGAGCAAATTTCACAAAAATTATGATACATACGAAACAAGCGCTTGTCCCACGATCTTTCCGACATTGCGCATCTAAGGATAGGAGTTTTCCCGGAAGCACTCTGGGCAGCGCCTCGTCCTCGTGAGGTGCATTGTACAAACAGGTCGCTGTGTCACCACTAAAAAAGTGAAAAAATAGCGTGGATTTACCATTTGCTTCTATTTCATGTTAAGAATCTCATTATTTATTTATTTATACATTTATACTTCGTAGAAAGTTGCAGAAGTTCTAGATACACTAATGCACATCGCGTCAAAGTCCATTTGAGAAATAAAAGAAATGATCGGAAAGGTAATTATATAAAAACAATTTTCTCACATATTTCTTCTAATATCGCGCGCAGTTACCTACTTTAGAAAATGATGGAAGGAGGACACACTGCAGTGGGACCATTTGAAGCCCTTCTCGGTGTGCCTAAGATCGCTCATGATGTATCCGTCTTCCCAGCGACACTTTTCGGCGCCTGGTCCACCCAGGTAGCTGGGCGGCGGTGAACCGTCGTGAACGGCACCCAATCTGCGATTCGCGCAAAACGTACAATTTATTTTTAGCTCGTTTAGCATCAATCGGTCGTTCTCGTTTCAGGCAGAAGGAAGGTGGACGCGCGTGATGGTAGATAAAAAGTAGATAAAAGCGGGAGGGAAACGGGGAAAGATTTGCAAGACGGTGATTTATGGGGGTGCTTACAGGTGGCCGACCTCGTGCGCAGCGACGATGATACCGCTGAATCCGCCGGTATCCTCGATGATTGCGACCGAATTCACCTTCTCGAGGCGCTTATTCACGACGCACGCCCCGCCGACGTACGCGAATCCTGTGCAGAGGAGACTCTTTAGCAATGCCATCGGCGTTTGCATCCCACCGGCTACGTGCGTACATCGAATACGGTAGCGCTACTTCATTTTTACTGCCAGAATCGTATTCGGTATTAACGCAAGCTGTCTCGTTAAATTAGCGACGAAAGCGTGTCTCCGCCGTAAACGCTCGTCAACGCTAACGTTGCTCCATTTCTTTTAAAATCGGGATTTTGACTTTTTGGGACATCACGCCCCCGTTTAAAATTTGAAAATTATGTAACTCTATATACCGAGACATCGCAGATCCACTGCAATGTTTACGTTTGCGTTTAAGGCGAAGAAACGCGCGTTGTTAATGCACCATAGATTTTGCCAGTATGTCGAGTAGTAGTTTCCGCGCTACGGGGATTAATATTATTAATCCGCTTGCGGCGGTAAATGTTAAAAACGAGTAGTCAGGGTCGATATATATATATATATATGCGGCATGCATCCGGAGTTAATTCGCGTTAATCGCCCAAATGGTTAACGAGAGAGTTAGCCCAAGATACTACGGGTGGTTTACGTTCGAGTAGGTTCCGTGTGGCGAATCGGCCGATCAACGGATCGGGAACGTCGTCGGCTTTTCCCTCCCTGGTTTCCCCGATTCAATATTCGATCAATTGCGGGAAAAAGTAGGCGCATCTCTCTTTAGCGTTGCTGTGATTTGTCAGAGACTTACCAAAGACCACGATCCGTGACAGTGTAATGCAGCCAAAGGTATACAAGAGCACATGAATTATTATTCAGGAGAGATACAGAACAAAGAGCGCAGGCGATGTAAAAAGAAAAAAAAAGAGAATAAGGAGAGAAATTGAATTTTGAGCGATTGTTTCTTCTCTCGCCACGAGCGAGACGCAATACTCGATGCACAGAAGACCGGTGAAACAATGGTATATACATAAAATGCGGAAATAGTAACAGTCGTGTAGATACAGTGGCGGATTACAATGGAATTGCCGCTAGATTTTGTCAGATTTCTTCGCGTTCGCGCTTCGTTTTTGTCAGCTTAAATCGCCAAAATCACCTCGATCCGCCACTGTATAGATACCGAGACCTGGGCGTATATGCAAAATAGATATAAACATATATAGAAAATAGGTTTAAGCAACTGTGCAAGGGAACAGCAGAGTTCGATAGAGGCAATTGCTTGACGCATTCTCGTTGCTGAATTGCAATCTGTATGATGCGCGTATGACGCCGAAAAATTATTACATAAGAAGGGAAAAGTAAGAGACACATTAGAAATAAAGTAAATATAATGTTCAGGTGATACAGGTAAAGTATGTAACAGGGAGCTCGCTTTGAATAATTTCTACGATTGCCTTCTAAGTCTCGAAGAATTGAAAACGGTAAAATAGAACTTTGAATTTTCTTCCAATCTCTCGATCTTTCAAAATAACAGTTCACCAGATTTCCTTCAACCAATTTATCTGACTTGATATACAACTCGCGCTAAATATTTTGAGACTGGAAATCTGGAGATTGAAACTTTGTAAGGCAGTGCGTAATGTGCAAGACTTAAAGTTGAGAAAGCTAAAAAAAAAAACAACTAGTTTCCTTCCTCTTGGATTCGAAAAAAAAAACGTACCTGCGGTTCCTCTATTGCACACATCATTCGCGTATTGCCTCCTGCACATATCTAATCTGCAATGCAATAACAAAAAATACTCTTTACTCATGTAGATTTCACGTTCGGCGAACATTTCTGACCTGGTCACGGGACAGACAATATTCAGACAGTGGAATTCAGACACACCGCTCGTATTAATCCTTTTGCGATACTGTACAAGAGAATGGAAAAAGAAAAAAAAACATATAAAGGATAGTCGCTCGAACGAGTTTGAAACGATTCGGTTCGAATCGTAGTTCCCCCATGGATTTCTCGCGAATATTGATACACAAATGATAATCATCCTCTCGAGAAACTGACCGTGTATAAAAGTGTGACACACCACTCTGCGTTTTGAGAAAAAGTTTCGTGATGTCCTTGCGATAATCAGTAATGCGAATTTGCGTGTGGTCGGAAGCAAACACACCCGCGAAGCGAACGAATGTCCTCGCGATAACCATGAATTTGTAACCGGCACAATTTCGGCGCGACCGGTCGGATTCCGATGGTTTAGAATTTAGACGCACGAAAATAATCTCCGCACAACGCCAGTCACACACGCCGATATTGTGTCAGTTTCAATCCTTTCGATTCTCCGCGCGTACAAAGAAAATAAAGAACGCGCTCCTTTCCGTAGGCAACCTCGAAGAAACGCGTGTTGCGGAAGCGCGTGTGCGACTAATGAAATATTAAATAAAAAAATTAATAAATAAATAAAAGCGAAAAAAGAAACACTCTATACGTATTGGCGGACGTGACTAAACGTCCGCCTATTAAGCGGTAATTTCGCATCAAGATCGATTAATCAATTTTACGCGATTGCGAGCTCCGGCACTTCGATTGAGCGCGACAGGCGGGTCCGATTTATTGTATGTACAACATTTCATTGCTCGTATGTCGCACTCTTTCGTAATCAAAACAGGAATTCGCAAAATTATTTGTCTAATAAGCTGCAAACTTGTAAATCACGTAGATCTGCGTAAATGAAGACTCAACGTGCGAGAATAATGCAAAAATGTAAAAAGGGCTGAAATACTATCATTATATCGATGTGCGTGATAAAATTCACCCATATGTCATATTATTTGGAGATAAAATTTGTTTAAATAAAATTTAATAGGGTAATCTTTAATATCGATTATAAAATTGTCGGTTTGAATAGTATTTCAGTTCCCTTTACTTTCCAGATATATTTCTACATCTGTTTAAAGTAATCTTGCCTAGAGTGTTGCGAGATACAACTAATAAAAACTAATAAAAAAAACGTGAATCAGAAGGAAAGATTTATATTATATACATCAGTTCGATCTACGCAGCATTATGTAACTTACGCGTACACAAATAATTCCGCGAATCACCATGTATATAGGCACATTTTTAAGGATCTACAGGAAACTCACGTCGATTTTTATGACTTTCCGATGCAAATGCCAAACGAGTCTGTCCGGAGATACACGCGATACTTTATTCAGTGATACGTCTCGATTTTTACGAATCTACAAATCTACGGTGTTTCCGTGTGTGACGCAATTGGCACGATCATCTGGTGTTACGGCATTCAAGACCACTTCGTCCGCGGCCACGGATTATGCGTTATTAATTAAATTAAGATTAGTGGTACCATACCCACTCCTCATTCGCTCCTCCTTGCTCGAGCGTGTGTGCGTAAGAAGCTCTGGTGAATTACAAGTGCATTGTCTCGCAGACACCGGATTACAAGTCTTTTAATTTCACTCGTTGCATTATCGGGACCACGCGAGGAAGATATTTCTGTCCGAAGGTTATTTTGCACCAGCGAGTATTTTCTCGCTAGTTACTAATTAGCACGTGCCACGTAGCGATTCTCCGATTTCTCGACAGAAGAATATCTTCCCCCCAGAATCCCAAGACATCCCCTAACAACGTTCTACTGTACCTGTTAGACTATATACCATTACTGCGTGTACCGTCAACAATACCGTCAACTATATACAAGCTAGCAAAAATGCTGTACGTTTATAAAACTTAAGGAAAAAAAAGGAGTAAAGCGTGATCGCTATGTAATAAACCATACCGGCAGTTCCCTTAGTGCAGCGGCCGCCTTTCCTACGACGGCACATATCATACCTGTTTTGCGGAATAAAAATCGAGAGTATGAAATCATCAGAAAGAATAAAACGTGAGAATTATAATAAATATTATCGGTCGTAACGCAAAAAGAGGAAACGGAGAGTATTGAAATTAATTGAATGCTTCTAAGGACGCATTGACGACGCTTCTCTCGTTTACGTCATGTAGTGCTAATGAGTTGGATTGACAAATAATAGAGAAGTATGAATTATGAGCTTATCGTTTCTGCGGGCAGTTTCGTGACTTGCTGCGTCAAGCTAACAGCACTTGCCGCTTTACACGGATCGGGCACTCTTACTTTGTAACGGCGACGGCGATGTCGTATACAGGAAGTCTCCTCTCCCGGAAAAGATATTTGCCCATGTCAGTCAGAGCGGCTGCCGAGTCGATTGCGTCTCTTCCCACGCGATTCCTTTCTAAGTACGGTGTCGCGTCTCGTCCCTGGATACAATACAATTTTGTCTTTGTTTATGTACGCGGAGAGGGAGGAGGGCAAGTGCTCCAACTGCAACTTTCAACTTATTACAGCTTTCATATCTTCGACGATAGTTTTCTTTTTCTTCTTGCTCAATAAATGCAAAGTCCGATAATTAGAATTTATATGTTTCGAGAAAAGATCCGTCAATTGTGCAGATTATAATCAACTGGGGTCGAGGGCTAATTTTGTTACCGTCTCTTACCCGTGAGATAATTATCCCCGCTATACTGATACGTATTTTTGGCCCCTTCAGTAACTTGTACCTCAGATCAACCCCGTTCCAAAAGGACACAAAGTATCTCTTTATCTGTACGTTATCGCCGCCGTGCAATCTGAAACGAGAAGATCGCGTCCGTTTAAGCGCGCTAAGAGAGATTATAAATGTCAATGCGGATCTCCGCGCAAAGTGTGTTCGCGCGAGAAAAATAACAGTCGTGTATATACTCGCTTCTCAATGATGATATTAGCCGACTCTCACCTGTACCCATCGTAATCCACAATGCAAAGGATTTCCGGGTAAATGACGTACGGTGCTTCGCGCCTCGATCTGCTACTGATCGAACGTTTAATTCTATACTTCTTGGCTAAGTGGTCGGGTTCCATGAGCGCTGAAAACATTTGCATTTATATTTGCAATCTCACGATTTTTTTTTTTAAATCGCTCTTTAAACGGCCGATTCGAATGCGATCGAAGCGAAAGAGTTTCTGACGTATATTGCACTCACAAAAGTCGCTGTACTCATCGCCGGCGGGTCGATCCACCTTTCTGAAAACGATATGATGACTTGTGCTTTCCAAGTCCTCGCTACTAGTTACGTTGGGCAGTAGTTCGGGTTCGTGAAGGGCTGGCGCTTCGCTCACTACTTCTTGTAGAACCCTTTCTGGCAGTGGCCGAATAACTAATTCAGAACCGATGGTTCCATCCTGAGCGAAAAGACGTACACTTTAATAGGATAATTAATAGAAATAAATAATTAAACGTACATAATCATGCAATGTAATCAATTGCCATTCAACTTCGGATTGCAAAATTTCATTTTAATTCAATACGAATTTAAAAAATATAATTTATATACATAATATATATATTTTTTTTATTTTAGTAATTATTTTTAGCGTCACGATAAAACGGCACTTTGTTCTTAATATTCTTTTTTCCTTCTTTTTTAAAGACCATAACATTGTCCTTAGGAACTGATTCACGACTAGATTACATGACATGAACTATATTCAAGTAGTCACGTATTGCCCCATAAACTTCCTCGTAATTAACTGTGACTATAATTGCACCCGATAATAGTCTCTCTGAGCGCAACTACGATGTTTTTAAATGTACAAAACATTTCTTCCCACAAACTTTACATAAGTGAAGAGATGATGGTAAATCAAGAAAAAATATGACTCGATCGTTATGCAACGAACAAACTTGAACGAAGAGATTATAATTAATAATCTCGGCATAAACTTCGAAACGATTCGCAGTGAATATTCGTAAGTTTGATCGCTCGAACACTTCCCGGTGTGTATAAACTGATAGTCTGATACCTATAATTATCAGACGACTCGTGCCCGCTCGCGTCTCTCTCCGAATTGTGCAATTTGAATATTGCACGTATAAATATCGCGGCGTATGAATCACGGCGCGTTAGAGTTGAGGGCCGTGTTAAATCGAGCGTTTCCATCGAGCCCGGGCACCGAGGCGAGTGTTTTGCAGCGAGTCGAATTACTCGGTATATTCCCGATCCGGACACGATCGTGCCGCTCGTTCTGCAGTCTGCGAGAGAGGTGCACTGGTCAGATCTCGAGGGAGGGGGAGTGAAAGCGAAAGGTCAGGACAGCACGGGGTCACTTAGAACAACGCTTTTACGGCGCGTTATGTAACCAGGCGGGCATATTATGTATACGTGACCGCGCTTGGACGACATTACGTTTTTTTTTTGCCTTTGTTAAAATTTCATTCAGACTCCCACGCGCGAGTCGCCGTCAGAGTCGCCGAGAGATTAATTCCGTCGAAACCCTTCTGGTTGAACGGAGAGGTTTTTCGTACCGAACAATTAACTTTCACGACTCCTGCAAGGTATAACTGCGCGATTATATGCTCTCGCCCGCGCACCAGTTATATTACTCGCATTTGCATCGCGAGTAATGATCTCGCGCGTAATAGCGCAATTTAGATCGTCCCGACCTTTTGGGTAAGGCATGCGGACGTTCGACGCACGTATACCTAGCGCGGTTTGCTGGCGAAATTCAATTCTGCCTTTTTTCACTGCAAAAAACATCCCAGATGTAACAACAATTAACATTAATTAAAATTGGAGGAGTGACGAAAACGAAGGATCAGTCAATTCGTGCAATTAACTTTAAGCGTGCGGAGGGAAAATTCGCATCGTATAATTCTTGAAAAGATCTCGAAGTTCGCGATCGAGTCGCGAATAATTGCGATATCCGATGACGAATAAATCGCGAAGATTTCGCGTATCACGAAAATTATACATATGATAAATGCAAATACGGAGAAAACATCTTGTGCAGCCGCTTCCTTTCTAGACGGGCAATTAAGAGCTTTGTAAGAGAAATCAAGTCATGCTTGTTTGAACACAAAATTATTAGGAATCCAACGTCCTTCTTTTTTTCTCTTGTAATTGCAGACCGCGGCGAAAGGTAGGATGCGCAAAAGTTTATTGGCTTCTATCTTCGTGAACACAATAACCCTTCACGCGAGATTTTGTCCCGACCAAGGCGAGGAAGATATCGATTGCGAGTGTAAGATCGAAATGTCAAAACTGCGATATCGCCGGTATTTAGGTAACTTTAATGCCACGGTCGTAATTTCATTCAATTATCTACAATAGACATTCAGATATAAATTTGACATTAAGATTTCATTGACGATCTTCAATTCATGATCTTTGCAAAAATAAGAGAATAAGAGAACAAAGCTACCGCTCAGTTCGCAGAAAGAGTTTTTCTTTCTTAATTCTTAAAACAAAAAGAACTACGAACGTCTCAACGAGAGAAGTTTCATCTCGGATTTAAGCAAGCGATGCGACTGCTCGCTAAATATGCGGCTAACCTTACTCATTTGTTGAAGAGCAGTTTACGACTATTTCGCGAGGATAACGAAACTCGGTAGGTTGTCCATAAAATATAGGTGTCATAACTCATGAGACGACGTTGGCCGCATTCGACGGAACAGCACGCCAGACACTCGCTCCAACATTTTAATTACTTATAATAAATCTCCATTGGCGCGTGAGATTCATCATATACACCGTTTTCATTTCCGCTTGATCATAAATTAATCTTATAGCAGAGTGAACAATTTAGTAAAATTTAAAGATATAAAAGAGAGATACTCTCTATCTTCCTGAAGTATAAATTATAATCCGAAGTGTAAGTTAGTCGCGCGTCCGGCGAATCTCTTGCGAATTTTTATCGCTTATATAGGATTGTATCAGCGATTGTTTTTAGTTGCTTTACGCCCATCGTCGTAAAATTGTTACGCCGTGCGGTAGGACGAGAATTGCGATACTGCTATAATTATAACACAGGTCCTAAGCGAGTCGCGTCGGTTGACGAAAGACGACCCGCAATAATAGGGTGGTGACGAAAGGAACATTAAGAAAGAATGGCCGCTTACAACGCGCACTTTCCCATTCGTGTCTCGGTGTAGCAGAATGGAAGCCATGTTCTCCGTGTCTTGATAAATGTCACCGATATCCACATCGACCTGGAACAATTAGAAGGTTCGGTTCGTTAGAAGCCGATTGGACAAAAATATATAATTATCTGACCGAACGATTAAATGAATTTTCAGAACCACGCGTTGTTACGTTCCCTTCGATTTTCAAGGACATCTTGTATGAAGAAAAAAAATTCGACCAATTGTTTTCAAATAATTCAATTTGGTGATAAATATCGAGAGAATCTGTGAATTTCAGAGAAATTGTAAAATTCTCGATAATTAAATATGCCGAAAGGAGATCACTTACATCCTTCACCCTCTCGTAACGAAGGCCGTCCGGTTGCGACGCGTTCCTGGTGACAGTCCACATCGGCAGGCTGTTGGCCGTCAATAGTCCTTCCGTGGGTTTCAACGAAAGGCTGATATCTTTGCCGAAGGCCTTCAGGTGAATCTGCGGTTTCGCGTCCACGCTCCTCTTATGCACCGTGTGCAACACAGGCACGACTTCGTACGGCGGCACTATAGTTTTGAGAGAACGCAAAATCCGTTTATATTTGCCGGGTCCTTGTTCCCCCACGAGATGTTAAGAAAAAAAAAGGATTTGATCGTTTAATATAAACGCCGTAATACTTTTCGGAATATTGTTTTACTACGCACTATTAGCGTTTGCAAAAGTTACGTTTAGCATTTCAGAATTTAGTTTCTTACTCGATTCCTTATGCCGAGCGTGGTCGTCGCAAAAAAAAAATAAATAAAAATCACGGTCATTTTTAATATAAAAAGCCCAACGACAGGCAACGGAGATCCTTTCTAAGATCGTCAAAACGGTGATTCTCGAATGACGGAATCGAGATGAATATTCAACGGGAATGATTCACGACGTAGAATTGGAGTTTAACGGCCCGTTGTCGAGCATGAAAAATATATTTGCGCCTCTGATCCTTGATTTCTTTGTCAGGGACGCGTCGAGGATACAAGAAAGATGAAGATTCTACGTGAATAAAGTTTTGGGCGGAATATATTCGTCATTAAATTCGGATTTGCGGATCTTACTTTGACAGAATTAATGGATTTAGTTTTGAAGAACTTTTCTCGATCACGCGACGTGACGTCAAGTACATAAAAAAAGAATATTCTTATTAAAATATATATAAAAAAAAAAATAAACTACAAGTCTCACGGCATAATGCATTCAATTTTCTTGAATTATTGAACACCTCGTATAGGGACGATAAATTAAAGTAAGTATCTGATTATCCTTGACGCGTTTGTAATCGCATTTCTGCAATTTGAATCACATCAGTTGGTGGCCCGATGCTTTTTTTTTAATGCCACGCCGAAAGAAACGAGGCATAAAAAAAAAGGAAAGGATAACGCGTGAGTTACTTTTTTCTTTACTGTTATTACCGGACTCGTGTCCCGTGTAAAACACCGATAGCATCTCTTCCCTTGTCATGTGCTCGTGGATCTGAAACACACAAATGGGTTTAGGTGAATGCGCGGGTGTCGCAATATCCTTACGTAATCGTGATCGCGACCGTCGCGTAATCTCGGCGCGCTTTATCGATCGCCTCATGAATAAATCCGCGATGAGATACCGCCGCGGATCAATCGCGCGACGCTTATTACTTACGATTCCTAAATGCGAAACGACGTGCGCGGCACAATGGTGTAAAAGCGAATGCGCGGCGCGCATCAATCGAGGTGATAAATCGAAAGGGAACTTGCCGCTAATTTGTCTGACGTAAACGACGTGCGTTTCCTGCGCGTGCTTATCTCGTAATTATTCGCGCGGAGAAATGAACGTGATAAGGCAGGGAAAGAATACGCGGAGATCTTTTGTGCGAGCAAATTTAGCTTCCGGGATTCGCAATTTAGTCATTATTGGTTATTACGCCATCATCTCATATATACGTTTTTTTCGCTCGCGCGTCTTGACAGTTCCATGACTCCGGTTTTATTAATTTTATTTTATTCCTTTTTTTTTATCGGCTCTTAAAAGCGATTGCTTGACGGTGTATTGTCCCCATTGTGCCAATATCGTGGGAATAGCGAAGCAAAATGGATACGGTAATCGAGAATGGTAACGCCGCCGGCAAAAAGACATCACGTTTCGTGTTGTAAAAAGTTACGTCACGAACGGTAGAGCTATCACGGCTCGGAATTTGTAGATTAATCCACGACTTGAAATTTCGCGTTTCACAATGCAGGCAGCAAGAGCGATTAAATAACAACACATTATGATGCCTGCCAAGAGGTTTTTATTAAATAAGAATAGAAAGAGAATATTTTAATGGTAATAAAATAAAATAAAATTTCCTCGATACACACATACTGTAAATCTAAATGTATAAAAATTAACATTTGTCTAGTTGAATAAATTACATTATTAGCTGGTGCATCAGTATGCACATTTTTAAGTGACGTCTCTTTTCTTGTGACAATCGCGGTAATTGGCTGAGAAGCTCGCTCAGGTCAGGACGGTGATTTTTCAAGTGTTCTCAGAATCGTAGCCCGTCCGGTTTTACAGCGGGGCGGCGGCGGCGCCGACGGCCCGTAATTAACGGGTGTGTGCACGCGTATTCTGTTTTCCAATCGCGTTTCAAGGTCTGCTTCTACCATTTCACAGCGGCGTTTTGCTTGCGCGCCGTGTCACAGAAATCGATCGAGCTGCAGCTGGAAATCGATCGAAGCCCCTGGGAGTTCTAAGGTCGATCACTTTCGCTCATTATTGCCGAGCCTCCGATCGATCGATCTGCGCTATACGAACGATCGTTTCGCTCCTAACAAAGCGTCGACAAGATAACCGCCTCGCTTGTTCGAACGCTCGAAATTCCTGTTTAAACGCAACCGTGATTTTAAATAACCCAATGTTTCAAAATACCCAATGTTTCAATTGGATTTTTTTTTTTCAATCTCCTCCGCGCGATATACGTATATTAACTCTTTCAATGCACTTGATCCGATATATAAGCATATAAATTCTGAGAGTATTATAGTAATAATGTCCTTTTAGCATTTTAAAATTAGCTTCAATCTTTCTGTTGCGTGCAATTATTTTTCGCTTTACATTAATTTATATTAATTTCTTTAATATTCTTGTTCGGACACGAGGATTCTTTTAAATCTGCCTTGAGCCACATATGCACGAGCGATCTCACGTCAGATCGAACGGCAAACAATCGAGAATTTCTCAGGCACGGTTTCCGAGCCGACAATGAATTTTGTAATACCCGTCAACCGTGACACGAGTCGCGCGTTTTAATCGTAATGCTTTTCACGCGTCTGCGAGCATAACCGTCGATCGAATAGAAACGCCGTCTTTCTTTTTTTTTCCCTTCCTGCGAAAAGTAGATTACTCTCTCGGCTTAGGAGCATACCGGTTTTCGCTTTCAGTCTCTTTCTCTCTCTCTCTCTCTTTCTCTTCTCCGGTGCAACAAGTACATCGCGAAATCATGTAAATCACGTGGAACGGCTGCCGGAAATCGACGGAGCGCGTTTCTCATCTGAAACTAATTATTTGTACCGTTTCCTAACGACCGGAGAATTTACGTAAGTCGGCGGGCCGTCGACTGACCGGTCCGCGATGTCTATCCGCGAATGATTTAAACGGCTATCGTGAGAGAAGCGCCGTTTTACTTGATTACAATGTTTAACGTGTCTATTATCGACACTCGCGTTCTACCGCTTCTCGCGCTTTATCGAAGACGAGACACGCGCTCGCGCACGTGAACGTTAATCACACAACGCGCAACCTTTTAACATTTTTATTATCGGTGCATGCCTTTATAGTTTATTACTTGTACAAGTAAACTTCAATGCGCTTGTCGCGGCATATATTTTATTGAAAAAAATCTCTACAAGCTATTTATTTATTATATACTTATATCGCTTTTAATTTAACTCTCATAATACCCGTCGCATTTTAATTATTGATTGGGATTCAATAAGAAACACATATTATATTCTGATAGATATCAATATGAAATATACAAGCTAGTACCGATTTATTCAGATAAAAATATTACTGTATTCATGATAAAATTATTATTCATGAATAGCTTAATCAATTTAATCTATCTTACGAATGTTTGAGTCATGAATTTTCTCGCAGAAACAAAAGATGCGAAATTGAGTTTTGCGAATAGTTCAGGGATCCAAAAACTTTATATATAATTCTTATAATAATATAATCTGCATGAATCAAGTTTTAAATCAACGATTAAAAATTGGCAACTTTTATATTATTGTCGATATCTTGCTTTAACAGAATTTATCTCGATCATCATTTCTTCTCGTCAACCGTTATCACGTACACGTCGGACTTGGCAACAAGAATTGCGCGATTATTTTAAATTTCTCGAAAAAAATCGAAAGCAAGGCAAGGTGGCTAAACAGCGTCGAATGGTTCGATGGTTTTATCGCAATTTCGAGGTGCGCGATGGTTCTTACGTAAGTTAGAGGAGAGCCGGCCATTGACCACGTTCGTGATGATTATCTACAACAAGATGACGCGCTCAACCGACGCGTGGTGAGTTGTAACGTGCCATTAATCGCAATCCTTTCTTTTTTCCACGTGCTTTCTTAATTAGGCAGATACTATTGAGAATTGACACGTAGCAACTGTCAGTGCCATTAATCTGCAGTTAACAAGCTCCATTTCGTAAAACGTGTTTCGCACTTTATCGGTACCTTGCCGATATCTATCAGAATAAATTCGGCGAATTATCATCTGACAAAATAAATTGATTTGATTTAACTATAGACGTGCGTTGCAATCTTCAAATTTAAAAGTATACTTCGCATTTCTATTTTTTTTACTTCAGATTAATTACCAATAAAAGATATATAAATTCGTGAATACGATTTTTAATTTTTGTTATATGCCAATAACTATGATAAGCTGAAAGGACATTACATTAAAGGAACTTCGTGTCGTTAGCAAGTTCCGCGCAAATCTCAGCGCGATAATCAATGATCGTTGGAATAATTCCCTCGTAAATAGCCGGCGCACCCAACGTTAATCGCAAGTAACGCGCGGAATTATGAGGCGTCGTTAATTCCTTCTCTCCCACACTACCGAGCGTCAAGCTAATTAATTCCTCCGGTGCCATAATCGCGCTAAATAATATTCAAACGTTAGAGTCGCGCGCGGATTAAACGAACGGTAGGATAACTCCTTAAAGACGAGCGTGGTGCAACACGCGCGCACAGGCACAAAATTAAAATTATATTCTGCAAAATTAATGTGGCAAACGGGAAAAGGGAAGAGAAGGATATATTACTTGAGTAAATAGAGACACAAGCGTAAATCAAATGACGCTGCTCGCGTACCGTGAGTTTACCTCGCAGCGACGTGATTAACGTGAATTAGAGTCGTCATCGCATTTTGCGGCCGTTCGCTTTAATTCAACAGAATTATTCTCCTGCGCGCGTGCACGCTCGCGGACACGCGTGTTCTTTGTCTTAAAGAGGTAATTGCACGGGATAACAGTGTCCTTGGGCGTCTTGGCGATGCCTGACTGCGATCTTACCTTGTGGCATCGTACGAGAGGTAGAATGATGGCCATGCAGAGAAGGACAAGGGCGCGAGTCATTTTGCATAAAAATATTCCCGACTGGTTGCGTCACATCGCTGAAACAGAAAAAATATCGTTGTCTCGTAAATGAGAACGAAGCGAGGGTAATTAGCGCTCAATGTATATATATGGCGAACACGGCCAAGTATACTCGAAACTGTCGCGTTCTTGACATTTGTTTATACGTACTTAAACTCATTGTTTCTGTCTAAACCCTGAGAAGTTAATTAGAAGGATATACCTGTCTATTTATTGAAATTAACAAAATGAAATTCATCCTTCAACGTCATCCTTTCCCCATCGCAATAGACATGATTAATATACATATATAATAAAAAGAGAAAAGAAGAGTCGCATCTATTATATTCGGATGAGTAGACAAAAAGAGATACTTCGCCCGCCGGGGCGATGAAGAAATTCTGGGATTATATAATTGTTTTGCCACATCCCCGGTGGGCGAAATGTGAAAATGAAGAATCGAAACTAACCGTCGCGATGAGTTCACGCATGCATGAAACTGAGAACTGCCGCGCCGCGCGGAGAAACGAGAGTGCGGCGTTGAACATACGCGCGCGAGTACGAGACGGGGGCGATCCCGGAAAGAAAGTTTCGTTGCATCGGATTAACGCTGAATAGACTCGCGTCAAAAGCCTCCAACACACGCGTACACACAGAACATAGAGTATCCGCGGATAGACGTGTCTCGCGTCGAAGCTGACGATCCTTGATCGCGAAGAAGAAACCGGAAGAAATGATCGATAGCCTCCAAGCAGATTCAGAACTCTTTCAAGAAAGCGCCAGAGTTTTGAAAAGAATTCTTGATGCGTTCGGGGTTCGAAATTGCAATATTTATCAAATTTTAGATGTTATTTATGACAATTTTATTTTAAAAACTCGGCCGTATGAAATGCAAAACAGCGGGATGTAAATCTAATTTGCTTGGGTATGCTCATTATCGGATATCGGTTAAAATTAAAATTTGGATAATTTTTCTGAATATATGTAGCCATAAAAAGTAAACTTTAGTCAATTTAATGTCCACTTCAATCAATTTCAGTTAATATTTATAGGAGCAATTCTTCGAGTTGTTGATATCATTACGACTATTTTATAATATAGTCAGAATGCATAGTTAAACTTTTGAAGAAAACAAAATCGTTAAAAATATATTAAGTGAAGTCATTAAAAAGATAATAACATGCACAGAAGCTGCTTATGTAAATTAATCTTCAATCGTAAGGTGCGTTCTGCATCTCTTGATATTTAAATATGAGACAGAAAAGTTATTAATGTTAAAAAATGTTACATAATCAATTTTAATTAAAAATCAATTTCTAATAAATCAATTTTTAATAAAAATCATATATCAAGTTATTTTAGTAAAAAAAGATTAATGTATTTTCTTCTAAAAAAATGGACAAAAATAATTGAAAATAAACTGCTGAAAAAAATCTCTGTACACTTTATTTATAATATAATTTATATTTTTATATTTAATTTTAATTATTTAATTTTATTTAAAAGTATTAATTTATTTTTTGTTCACTATCTCAAGCACAACAACACTTGTAGAAGAAAGACATTTAAGCAATTGCAACAGCTTCCTTTTTCTCTTGAAAACTTTTACTTTCTACGATCCATATCTTTGTTGTGATTAAATAATTTTACAAAAGAATTAAGAGACTCGCGAATCGAAAAGAATAGCTCGGATAAGGAAATCTTCGGGAGTAACAACAGCAATGGAGTCTCACACGGCAATAAAAGAGAAGGAAGACACGCGTCTCACTGTTTTAATAAGAGATAATGATCTTCAACCGAGTAATATATTCGACCTTCGTGCAACAATAACGACGGTTTCATAGGTCATAAGGGAGGCCCGAGATTCACACAATGCCTCAGAGGGGCATCTATCTATTATGCTGCTTTGTTTATGAATTCTGATCGTTTCTGATCGAAAATTATTCATGCAATCATTAAGTAATTACGAGATTACATCGTGTTCAAGCGTAGTAGTATACCGTTTGCGCACCTCCGCATTGTTATCCTTAATGGCGATCCATTTGCGGAAATTTCTAAAGAAAGATACTAACACTCTACTCTTTTTCTCTCCGTTATACCTCCGTACATACCTTCATTGGATAAATATAACACCATCAATTCTAGAGTGCTGCGCATATTTTTCAATCTTTAATTTTGTTTCTGAAATTTATTCAATAATTTATTCATTTTAATGATTTTCAAACCTGTCGTCATATATCAATCTCCGTCATATTTTGTGGTATTTTATAAGTCATTCATATGGCGAAAGCGTGAAATGATAAAATTAAATTACGTAAATTTTGATTGTAAAGTTAAAGTTATAATAATAATTATAATTATTATATATATATAAAATGTCAACGGTGATCGTAGATAAAAATTCATCCAGCAACACTGCAGAATTATTAGCATTATAATTCCTATGTAAAAGTATTTATTTCAAAGATATGCAAAAGAAGCATGTTATCTTCGCAAACGTCTCGAATATAATTAATTCATAGAAGAGAAATACTTTCACTTAAAAGTCAACCGAACAATAGAATACGAATTCAGGCCATTGTTCGCATTTCCAGTATGACATCTAATTAGTTTTACTGTTGCTTAGTTTTTTCGAATCAATTCGCACAAAATTGCAAAGCGTGAACTAACATATTTTACTGAGAAAACGATGCTAACAACACACAATAGCTGCAAGAAAAACTGGACGAATGACTGACTATTCGGAATGACTGGCTTATGCGAAATTATAAAAGTAGAAATCGCATGAATAATACAACGTTCGTTTTTTTTTACCTGACCTTGCAGAAACGAGTTTTGGGCGATGGCTTGCATTATCAGGGTGACATTTCATTTATCTTATTGCTACTTTGGTCGTGCTAAAAGATATTTTTCACGGAGAAGTTGATCCAACAACAACCACTTATATGAGAGGATAATAAATATTAAAAATTGTCCCAAATTATATATAAATAGAGAAACAATTTACGTGCAGGCAAAAGAGCTCTGCGCAGCGTCTAATTTGCTTAATTCAATTATGAATTGTACTTGACTTAATGAAGTTAAACCTTGTGCAAGAAAAATGAAGCAAGAGCTAACTAGGTGCATTTCACGATTCCGAGACAAATGATCCTAACTATGAGAAAATAACGGATATTAAATTATCCTATAAAAATGTTATAAAAATCCAGTTTACGTGGACAAAAGAATATCACTTTCGTCTGACCTCAAGGAAACGAGTTTGGACCATGCGGGTCTCGCGGTAACGCCTAATTTGCTTTATTGTCTTGCGTTTTATGGGTGAACAAAACGAATGTACCGGTCCTCTTTCTTTGCGCGGCGTTAATTAACACGGATGGTAATTGCGAGTTTTAAATGCCAACGTTACGCTCGGAAAGCCGAAGACGAAGCCAAGTAAAGGGCAACTGGTTTCATCGTATTATACACGATCGAGAAGGGAGGAAGAGAGAAAGATGTAAAGAAGGAGAGAAAAACGAGAGAAGAGCATCTCGATTGCGAAAAGCAATTCCTCGCCTTCCTCGTCGAAGGGGCAAACGACACGATTCCATGTATGAGGGAATCGAGAAAGAGAGAGAGCCGAATAAGCTCGAGCCGATTTTATATCGCCGAGTGCACCATGCTCGTTCACTTTCTTTTCGGATTAACTTGAGAGGACGGGATTGGACAGCGTTTTAGATCAAGCGGTAGGAAGCGGTAGGAAAGTGGTTGCGAGATCGGTGGTCATGGAGATACCCATATCAAATTGTTATCTATCTCCGCCTGCTATGTGTCGCGTAACGTTTACACACGGTCGCCTATATAACGCAACATCCGAGTAACTTGTATACGTTGCAATATCAGTATGCAGTCGGTTCCTATGTAGATCAATAGCTACGGATTGCAACAGATAGATTGCGAATTACCGGCATCGCATCAAGGCTCGAACGTAATTACCTCTCAAAAATTACACGTACATTAAATTTATAGTGCAGCACACATAGTATGCGGAATAGACCAAATTCCAAAAGATCGATTCGTACAATGACGAAAATATAACTGCTGATTGTGTATACACACTAGTCGAAGAATTTTTAGAATTTCAAGTAACTATTTTTAGAAATGATTTCTACGAAATTTTCATTGAAGTAAAAAGGTTCTTATCCCTTGCGGCGTTAGTCAATGGTCTCTAACATTATCATAAGAGCTCAGTCACTTTTAATAATATACAATTTTTTGTCGGGGAGATTCGCGCAGAGGTAATATATCAAATTGAGTTTCCTGGAAGTTGTTCGTTATATTTTATAGGTGCCGAACCTCTTAAACGGGTCTCAATTTTACTGCCCATATTAAAGTGATATGTTCATATTAAAGTGATTCGATATATTTTGAACGACGTGGTTTAGCGAAAATTTATGATATTTACCTTGTCGAAGGCCTTTTACGACTCGCGCAGGGAGAATCGCTAATTTTATTAAGCGAACGTATTCATTTCCCATTTCGCAAAACGGATGGATACAATGAATGGTGAGTCGCTAATCGGCGACGGCATCTATCCTGCGTTCAATGACTTTCCTTCGGTCCATCATACGCTTATGAACCAGCAGGAAGTAATGAAAAGTACCTACTTCCGGAATGCGAAAACGCCGGTCGGGACAGATCGAGTGTCGTGAGAAATCGCGCGACTACCGGGGCCCTGTGCTTCTACTTATTACATCGTTACGCTGAAATTTCAGCTGTGCACGAATTCTATTACAACATGTAGTTTATTAAAAAAAAAAATGTAACTCAAACTGTATACATCGTCCGCGTACGTGACTTTGATATTAGGAAACCTGTTTCGAGAGATAAATCCTTTCCATGCAATCATAGATTTTATATTTACGAGCACTTGATAAATCTCAGCCATATACCGTATATTTTCCAAGTTAGATTGCACTGATACTTCGTATAGACATCGTAAAATTATACCGGTGCATAATTCAGCTATTGCTTTCTCGATCAAATTGGAATTGGCTTCTGC